AAAATGATACTTCACATCCACAGATCAGTCTTCTGATAAGCATCATCTTTCTTATTCATTGACATAATATTTGAAAATATATATATTTTATATACTTATATAACATATATGATATTATAGAGAGAAAAATTTTAAAAACATATAAGAATTACAATCCTGCTTTAGCAGCTATGGATGAAATGCAACAACTAATATAAAGGATTTCAATTTGATCTTACTGATACTGTGATCTTTGTGTCATATAATAATGTTCTGAATTCAGTCCAAAAGTCAACATCTCACATGATTGTTTTTGTTTTCATGGGCCACAGTTCTAGCTAAGAACCTCCAAAGATCATCTATAGATGCAAATGGAGCTAAATAGGGAAACTCTGGTTTATTAGGGGAATCTGTACCTGACAGCAAAAAAGTATTCTTTTTCCTAACAATCTAATATCTGTCTCAGTCAAACCTGCAATCTGATCAATTAACCTACAATAAAGGAGGACAGAGAGCCTCATTTTACCACGAAGTATCTGGGTGTAGCCTTCCAGTGTACACTGTTATGGAAAACAAAATGTATATTTCTGGATTAGAAATGTGATGTGCTCTCTTTTAGGTTCTGACCAAAAAAGCAGACATGAAAATAGGGCCAATTCTGGGGAGCTTCACTTTTGTTGGGATTAAAATCATCAGAGAATAAAAGTCAGATGTAAAAATATTCTTTGACACCTTAGGGTAACACTAGAGATTACTGAAGATAGAAATGTATATGCTCCAGAAGACCCATAATTCTGTCCCCCAAAGAATTTGGAACTTTTTTTTATATGGTAGGTTTTAGTGCAGAATAATAGAAGCAAACAAATCTCTTTTCTAATCTTTTAAAGATAGTTCTTAAAAGTGTATGTTATTGAAACCTGTGATTATTCAATATATTAAATGTAAATATATACCTAAGAATTTATATTATTTGCATTAATTATCAAATTATAGTAATTCAAAGATCTTTTTGAATATTTTATAATACTTTAAAGGTTCTGCGTACCTCAAACATTAAGATTTTTCCTCGAATTATTTCACTTAATAAACTTATGTAAGTATCCATTAGACATAAGGCATTCTAGGCTGCCAGGAAAATAGATATATGATCACCCTCAATGAACATACAGCCTACTCAAATCAGTTATATGAAACTGTCTTAAAATAATTACTCATTTAAACTAGATCTAGAGAGATAACATAGTATTTCATCCTTTGTTCTTAATGGATAAACCTTCATAGAGTTTAGTGGCTGATTGTTGCTCTTTCTTAAAGGCCAAAGGTTCATGTTTCTAATCTTTCCCGTCTCCCAAGTATGTTTATACACGAACAGTTAAAAGATATGGAAATGAATTTCAAAAATGTTGAATCCTTTAATTATACCCTTGAAGACAGTCCAGACTGTTCACCCTTAGATGACTAAACACATGCCTGGAATAGAGGCTGACATAAACCAGCCCTCATTTTTCTCCTCAGCAGCAGCATCATCTGTACCAAGTCTACCTCAAATGGGCAACAGCCCATCTTCTCTTTTTGGTCACCCTCTTTCTTCCATCCTCCAGATCCTCTCTGATTACAATAATTTGCTTTTGAAACTACTGGAAGGATGTAATTTATAGACATACTTTAAAGATATTTAGATATTTTAATTTTATTTTCTCAACATCCTGAAATAATTTGCTAACCTGTTTTTTTTGTTTGTTTATTTGTTTTTCTTAGGTAATCCAAATGTCTCCAAATCCTGTGTCTTTCATCTAATGTAACTGTATGAAGTGCAGAACCCTCTGCCATAATTCAGAAGACGACCAGAACACAGATCTTTTTCTTGGTCACTCTTGTCTCCTGTTCTGAACCTCTGGCTTCTTGAATCACCACTGCCTCATTGCTCACTGTTCACAATGGCTGCTTCCTTGCCCTGCTCATGATGGCTGCTGTCCTTGCCCTGCTCATGCTGGCTGCTTCCTTGCCCTGCTCGTGCTGGCTGCTTCCTTGCCCTGCTCGTGCTGGCTGCTTTCTTGCCCTGCTCGTGATGGCTGCTGTCCTTGCCCTGCTCATGATGGCCACTGTCTTTGCCCTGCTCATGCTGGCCACTGTCCTTGCCCTGCTCATGCTGGCTGCTTCCTTGCCCTGCTCATGATGGCTGCTTTCTTGCCCTGCTCGTGATGGCTGCTTCCTTGCCCTGCTCTGTTGGCTGCTTCCTTGCCCTGCTCATGATGGCTGCTTTCTTGCCCTGCTCATGATGGCTGCTTCCTTGCCCTGTGGACATCAGTCACTGTGTAAGGCCCCATGAACACGGCCAGTGTGTGTGTTAGACTTTGGAGATGATGGAGGAGAATCACAACACAGGACATAAAATAATTTAAAATAATAGAGATGTCATATTTCTTACATTTTTCAGCCATTCTCATAAAAGAACTCTCTTTTGTGCTTGCCCCTCTCCTTAGGCACAGACATCTTCTGTCTCCAGGGCCACAGAATTTGAAAGAGGCTCACTGCTTACCATCTCTCCTTCCCATCCCACTAACCAACAACTTATAAAATAAATCCCCATGCAACAAATCAAACAAAAACAAACCATTTTCTCTCTAAGATTAACGCCAGTTACTTCACTACACAGGGAATGTGTGTATTTTCTTAACCTCTCCCTATAGATTCTTCACTTCCTATAACTGAGAAGCCTGCTTAAGAGCTTTCCCAGAAGTGAATTTTGTCACTACATAAGATGTAAGGAATTATACAGGTGGTGCATGGAGATTTATTAAACAACATTTTTTTTTCCTCCTCCTTTCACATGACGTTGCACTTCTCTATTCGCAAAACCTCTGTCTTACTTTCTACCCAGGAGAGATATACCTCCAAATAATATTTCTAAGAAATAATAATCCTGTGTTCTCTGGGAAGGGAAAGTAGCAAGCAAACCATCTGAAATAAAGGTTGGAAGAGGCATTTGGAAGAGGCAACCTGGCCTGGCTGGGAGAAAGTACTCAAACATGATGCAAGGGAAACTCAAGCTTCATATTGGGTTGAGAGCTTTGAGTTCTTGTATTTTTTTAAACTAAGCTAACAAATATATGAATATATCTACAGGCTTATTAATCTTTTGTCTTTGAGCCAACTGTTGAAAATAAGTCCTTGGCAATGATCTATCTGCTTCAGTCTCTGTGTGCCAACTTCACCTCCCAGCATTTCCAAGCCAAGATCATCACCAGACCGAAGGCAATACCTCCTATCCAGGTCAAAGAGCCAGAATCACTAGAAGTTACTCTAGGCTCCAGAATCCTCTCTTCTATACCCATTTATCTACACATTCTCCCAGTATGTGGGACACTCCTTCTTGTCTCTTTCCATTTCTCCCATGAAAACCATCCCTCCTCTGTTTCCTAATGCATACTCTTATGTTGGGGGAGGAAGCATGTGGGTAAAGGAGGATAAGAGGGAAGGCTGCAATGCTCATTGTCCCTTTTTTCCTAAGATGGAGATTTTTACTGTACTTTACAACATTTTCCTGGCACTAGTAGGTTTATTATTTTCATGACAACTTTGTAAAATTGCATTTCTAAGGCAGTTTATCACTGTTTTTTATTTTATGTTCTTGAAACTTTCCATAACTCTTAACCAAGGAGACTTCAGTAAATGGAGTTAGCATTTGGGCCCTACAAAGAGTCAGAGACAAAAATAGCGGTACTTACTTGGTTTGGTCAACAATATTTATACAATACTTAACCGTCTGGGTCCACAAGATAAAGGACAGACATTTAACTGTTCATAATAGGGTCAGGAAAACTAGGCTTGTAACAGGCTTTTTGGTCCTTGCCACTTGCAGGAACACACAGTTCTCAAAGGAGAACTCCGTATTGAATTAAACTTATTGACACACAAAGTATGCATCATGTAAATATTTAATTTCATAACTACATAGTCCTCATAGTGAACCTTGGTCCCCATTCTTCACAAGGCCACATTAGAAAAGGCAGAATTACAAGCTCTTTTTTTTTTAAGAAAGAAATTAGTAAAGTAATAAAAGTGAACTGAAGAAGCCTGACTTATAGTTTGGAGATCATTGCAGAGATAACTCAATTTTTTTGAACTTTTAGAATGTAGGATTTATGCCTTTTTACTTTTCTGAAATTTATGAACTGATTTTTGTTTTCCCAGGGAGCTACGTGGCATATCTTCATCCACGGATTCACTTTTGCCTTTGGACTCTTTCTCACCCTTCCCTTCCTTAGGGAGAGAAGAAAGAGAAAAAAAAAGTACTGTTTTAGCCAACTGGCTTTATTAAAGCTTTCTCATCTATGAGGCATGAGAATATGTTTGCAAATCTGCTTCTTTTCTGATTGGCAGTGAGAAGTACAATTGCTCTTTAATTAGAACCCTCTGAGTCCCATCATATGGTTTAATCCAGGTGTTTAACCCATCTCAAGTCAAGTGCCAGTTGAGGACATGGGTCAACTGACAAATTTTTTAATTATCAGACAATGCAGGATTTACACCACAGTTATTTTCTTTGTTGATATTAGAGCAGAGGATGGGGAAGTAATGGAGGGGGTATACTGGAAATCACAGCAGACTTGTTCATGAAATTGAATGGTTAACCTTAATTCTGACAAAATTTATCTGTATGCATCTGAATATATCCTTTAAGATTACAGGAACTCGACTGTGTTATCTGTAAAAATTAGGATACTATTTCTCAAATACTTCACTGAGTAACTTCTAAGATTCTCCCAAGGTCTCAAATACTACAATTCTAATCAACACATAGACAGAGATACACACTTATGTTACCAATAGGTTGGTTATTGCAAGATTTTATGGTTTTGAAAAACCCTTATTTACTTAACATTTTATCAGTAACGTTTTGTTTTCATGACATTTTAACAAAATGTTTGCTAACATTGTCAAGGGATTTCCTAGCTAAGATATAGTCAAGAGATAATCTCTGAAGACTATTTCTTTTCTTGTCCTAGTTCCATCTCTTTGATCTTCTACAAGTAACCAAAAATATCAATGCCATTGACAAATAGAAAAAAATAGTTATATAGTTAATCATACCTCATTGAAAATCACACCACTGCCTTCCTTCCCTAATGATTGTCTATAAACAAAATCCAAGAACAGCGTCTCTTTTTTTCTTTGCGTTAGTTCCTGTCCGTGTACAGAGAACATCAGGCTGTGACTCACATACTGACACATCTCCAGCACAGCTGGATAGGCACAGAACGCATTTCACAACAAGGACAAAGAAAGAAAGGGAGAAAAGTCCGTTCATTTAAAGAATCTATATAGCTTACTGCTGCAAAAGCAAGATGCAAACTTTTCCAAGAAAACCAGTTCAAGGAAAAGCAAATTGTTTTGTGCTAATTAAAAATTGCTTGAATAATTTTTAATATGTAATAAATTCCTTCAAGATAGCTATTCACTCTGGAAACCTCACTCTCACTGAGAAGAAGCAACAATTTATGAATATCGGGAGTGAAGCTCTGGTGACAATTTAGAGGGATGAACAATAAAAGAAAAGTACTCCGTGATAATCTTGGAATTCTTTCGAGAGAAAAATAGCTATAGGGATAGGTTTCTATGCAGGCAAAAGAAAGAATGGTGTTGCATAAACTCTCCAGAGATTTGATAAATGAACTCAGAAATATCTGCACTCTAGCTTTGAAAGGGCTGAGTTGGTTGATACAGAACAATGTCAAAGATGGCATATTTTCACAGAACTGTCCATGGGTAACATTTCCCTCCCTGTGCAAGTAAGTATAAATGATATTGTCACTCATTGTGTCTTTTCTCTGTGCTGTGTAGAATGTTGAATTAAATTGTTGGCTGGATATAAAAAAATTTAAAAATAATTAAATAAATAAAATAAAATAAATTGTTGGCTGGATAGTTAAATGAAAAGTAAAGTTGTTAAGCAAGTTTACAACAGGTCTATTATCACTAGTAATGGAAGGTCTCATAACTGTAAGAGGAAATAGCACTTCTTCAGAGTGTGCTAACAGAAAAGGCTTCTCTGGGTTAATTTATGATTAAGAAATAGGTGCCTTGGCAAACCCACCATCTGGACAGATCTTGGGTGAGCTTCTCATTCTGACAATGAGAAACCATGCTAGAGTGCCCAGTCCAGCCATATTTACCTTCTGTTCAGAAAGTCAGTAAATAGTGTTGCATGTGGAATGAGGGGTAAGATATATTATCTTAACAATTACTGCAGAATTTCTATTAATTAGAAATATTGTTGGAAGAAAATATCTAGGAAGGTATTTAGAAATGGAAAGTGAGAGCAAGTTGAGGGCAAGAGAAAGTCTGCCATGATCAGAGATAAAGTGTAAAATGGTCCTTTCTGTCTCCTGACTACATCATTGGACCAAAGGAGTTCAAACAGTCAGTCTGCAATCCATTCTTTTCTTTTGCTGGAAGTGGAATAATGCTTTTGAGAGTAAAAAGAAGACAAGTTACCCAGTGTATTGCCTTGTACACTGGACCTCTGGTAGGGTTGCTGCAGTTGTTCATAGATTATCACACTATTTTAGAAGCTTAACTTCCATCCCTAGCTCCTGTCAAGTGGATAGCCTCAACACTAATATTCTTTCTGTATCCTAGCAGAAGGTTTTGGGCCACCTTGGACACGTATCCTACGTTCAGTCAGAGCTTGGCACAACTTAATTGTCCTAAAACGTATTCTCATTTGAAAGGATAGTTAGATTGGACTTTATCAGAGTAGTTATGAGAATATATGTATAATTTCATGTATCACTAATTTTATACATGTTATATATTCCTATTTTTATTTATTTATTTATTTAATTTTTTTAAAGATTTTTTTTTTTTTTACTTGAGACAGAGAGAATGAGAGAGAGAGAGCACATGAGAGGGGGGAGGGTCAGAGGGAGAAGCAGGTTCCTTGCTGAGCAGGGAGCCCGATGCGGGACTCGATCCAGGGACTCCAGGATCATGACCTGAGCCGAAGGCAGTCGCTTAACCAACTGAGCCACCCAGGCGCCCCATATATATTCCTATTTTTTAAAAAAGATTTTATTTACTTATTTATTTGAAAGAGAGAGAGAGAGAAGTGAGAGGAGCAGAGGGAGAGGGAGAGAGAGAATCTTACTGAGTGTGGAGCCTGATATGGGCTAGAACTCACAACGCTGAGATCATGACCCGAGACAAAATCAGGAGTTGGATGCTTAATCGACTCAGCCACCCAGGCGCCCCTATATTTCTATGTTTTTTAAAGATTTTATTTATTGATTTGAGAGAGAGAAGGAGAGAGCAAGTGAGAGAGCACAAGCAGGGGTAGTGGCAGAGGGAGAAGCAGGCTCCCCCAGAGCAGTGAGCCTGACACAGGGCTTGATCCCAGGACCCTGAGATCATGATCCGAGCCAAAGGCAGACGCTTAACTAACCTAGCCACCCAGGTACCCCCCTATATTTCTATTTTTAAATGCTCTTAGATAATGACTAAAGCCCAGTGGACTAGCAATAGATAGATACATACATAGATACATAGATGATAGAGAGATGGGGCTAGTTCAATGACCACAAGAATAATTATCTTGGCTTTATAAAAAGACTAAAAACTAATCTAATGTGTTCCACGTTCTTCACTGATTATTTATGATTTAATATAATTCAAGAATATTCTATCTTTGCATAATCTTCCTTTCTAGCCCATGTTAAGGAGAAGTGAGAAGGGGAGCCAATAAATAAAGGGGGATATCTAAAAATGGAGATGAGAAAGTTAATTTGCTTCATCTTCCCCAGAGTTCTCTACAATAATTTAATTAATTTTTTAGTGTCTCTGGGGAAGTAAAATTTTCATACACATGTTTAATTATAATTATCTTGAATATGCCATTTGATAAATGCTCATAGTCATGCATCTTCATTTTTGGGGTGTCGCTAACACTTAAGTTTTAATTGTATAAAATGACAAAAAATAAAACAAAATAATCTAGCACATTATTTAAATCCAACTGCCATATTTTAAGACAAAAATTTTGCACTTCCTTACCATGTTCTCCTTAGCTTTAATACTCTGTGCTAGGTGAGAGTTCACTGGTATTCCCAGTTAATTTCTTTCAAAAGATAGGAAGAAATTTAGTGTTAACAGGATCTTAGAAAGTCATCCACTAGCCTACTTCTTGTTTCAATTTCCTCTATATCACTCACAATTTAGGAGGAAACTTTATTACATTTTGGCATTCTAATCTCTCTCCTGCCATCTATGTAATTCTCGTCTGGCCCATTCACATTGTTTACTACTGTACGGTGTTCCTGAACATTTTGAAGAAATGTTTTTCACCAGGTAGTTATTGTGGTTTTTTTTTTTATTTTTATTTTTTTATTTCTTTTTAGTTATTGTGGTTTTAAATTCACCAAATTAATAATAGCAGTTTATACTCTCCCACTAAGAAATTCACATAATTATATTGGTGTTTTAATAAAAGTTTATATAAGATTTTTATTTGTTGATTAAAAATCACCAAGAATCTCATTCCCTCAATTTTATAAGAAACAATCTTGAAATGTCACTTAAACATGATAATTTAAAAAAGAAACTAACTGGAGTAATGAACGGGGGGCTGATAATAACAGTTTTTAATTAATGAGTTCTCTTCTTTAATTCATCCATTCAACAAAAGTTTATTCAATACAAAGTAGGCAATTCATTATATGACTGGGCTGGCTAGAGAGATTCTAGCTCTCTTTCACATAAAATATCGTCCCACATCTACTACCCAAAGGATAACATCATGCTCACACCTCGTTATAAGAACATACTTGATTGGAAATTATTTCCTCATAGAGGAAAACTTATGTTTAGTTCCAACAAATGAATATAATATCTGCAGCATTTCTACCAAAGGAAAGGGTGAGCATAAGCATTAATCTGTCCATATGGTTAATACATATGGACAATTAAACCCAGTGTGTGTGTATTTAAAAAAAAAAAAAAAAGTGCTTCCTAGATGAATGAGAACATGTGCTGTCAGTCAGTGTAACACAAGTTCATGTGGGTCCCTATGAAATTTTTCCTAGCACATTAATTTATATGCCATCACTGAATCACAGCTGAATGCAAAGGGCACTAGAATAGTTAAATGCACGAGACCACAGAGAGATACGGTGCTGTCCATGAAGCCCATTCATTCCTCGGTGTTTCTCTTGGCTCAGGTTCATCGTGTGATCAGGTTGTGAACTGCTTTTTGTGCAGCTCTTTCTGATTATTTGTATTTTACACTTCTTTTTTAAAAATTTTATTTATTTGAGAGAGAGAGTGAGAGAGCGAGCACAAGAGAGGGTAGGGTCGGAGGGAGAAGCAGACTCCTCGCTGAGCCGGGAGCCCGATGTGGGACTCGATCTCGGGACTCCGGGATCATGACCTGAGCCAAAGGCAGTTGCTTAACCAACTAAGCCACCCAGGAGCTCTGTATTTTACACTTTTTTTCACACCTCAGCAGGCTAAGCCCTTCTTATACCATCTTTTATCCATCCACCATCATCTTTTTAAAAAGGTAAAACTTTATATTTACAATAATTTTTCTTTCCTTATTAGTAATTTAAAATCTTTTAAAACTGTGTTAGGATTTTAAATAGAAAAGCTCAATGTTAATGTTGTTAATGATATGGATACAAATTTTAATATGTTTTAAGTGTTTCGTGCAACTCTATTTTTCTCCTAAACCCACTTATATATAATGTTTAATATTGTGCAATGCAAGATTTTTCAGAATTACATATACCGTGTTAGATCTGAAATATCTCTGCTGTATAATATTGTAAAAAGCTATTATTAAATAAAATATAAAAATTTCTAGAATAACTGGATGTCAGTAATGGCAGAAACATTAGCCAAGTTATATTGTCTGTTTGGATGCTATACAACTTCTGGATAAAACACTATTCCCATGAAATAAATGAAAAAATAAAGGTCTTTGAAAAGAGATTTATATCAAAGTGAGGGAAAAAATTAATGGGAAACTTTGTATGATCTGCTTCTAGATAAGTGAAAAATGGCTGGCTACTCATCACATAATTGGGAATAAAACTACAGGTTGTCAAAAATAAGAATAAAATACTACTTTCACTATAGCTAAACATGTGTTTATTGAAACTTGAATGGTCTCAAGCATGATATATGCAAAATTATAAGGATGCCGGGCATATGGTAGGTGCTCAATTAATATTTTTGAATAAACAAAAAGGCCAATATGTATCTCTCCAGTTGATTTCTTTTTTTGGAAAACTCTACCAGATTATAAGTCCAAGAGGACAAGCCTAACATCTGACCACCCCAGCTCTGTGCCCAGCACATAGCTGATGCTAAATAAATGTATGTTGAATAAATGAGTTAAGACATTCCCTACCAGATCGATCCTGAGAAAGATGATTTTTAACTCTTTAAATCATTTCCTGTGCTTCCCTAGGAGATTCCTACACATTGCCTCAGTTCCTTGACTAAAAAGACATACACTATTTCAGTTAATATCCTATTCCTTCCTTGGAGTAAGTTTATCCAACAAACTGATAAAACAGGTTGTGTCCTTGTACATCTAAGAAATACCACTGTCCAATTTCAATAATCTTTCAAATATGCTCTTGAAGATAGTTGTCGTATAATGACTAATGATACTGGTTGTGGAATCACTTTCTGGCTTTGACTCCTGGCTCTATCCTTTGGTAACTGGGCAAAATGCTCAAGTCTTTGGAACTCAGTTCTCTTATCTATAGAACTGGAATAAAGTCACACC